TGCCATATTTCTTTTTCAGGTAAATGCAGTCTTCCTTATAAAAATGAAATGAAACCTACTGCTCTCAGATTTTTTTAATATGCTAACAATAAATAAAAAAAAATCACTGACTGTGCAGTATCTATGTTTGTAGCTTATGGTTGTTATCAGGAAGCTCTGTGAGGACAAAAAGGTCAGTTTCCAGCTAGTGGAGGTTTTACATTTGTTTGCACATCTCAGTATATTCTTTGTTGAGGTTAAGTTTGCACAGTCATAAGACTTCTGAACAAACAGTAGATGTTACTTGTTTAAAATTTGTCTTAAACACCAGTACTATGGCTCTGGTTTATCAGCTAATCTGAATTTATTCTGTGGTAAATCTTGAGTATCTTTGCAATGGGTTTAATTCAACTTCTGTCTTAATTTTTCATCTTTGTATATGAATTATTTTTGTTACAAAGCCACTGATATGTGCACAATTGTAATTTTACTCAAGTATGTTGCAGTTGTAAATATTAGAGAGTTTAATCTTGTGGTCTACTTTTATTTAGCAATTACCTAATTTGCTGGTAACTTTAAAAAAATTTTAAGACAATTGTTCATTATTTTGTCAATGTTATTTGAATTTAGGATACTAGGAGTCTCTTTCTAGGGACTTTCGCCTAGCTAGCATGTCCTAATATTTGTTCTTGTCTTGCATAACTTTAGTAATCTTTGTCATTACATGTAACTTGGTTACTCTGTATGACATTGTGTCCATAAACATGGTAATTTTGATACAGTTATACTTTACAGTGGTACATAATCCAAGGACTAGTATAGAATTAAGAGTGCAAGATGAGGGAGGGAAGGGTTTTGTTCTTGGTAATTTAGATGTGAAACCTCTAAAGAGCTATCATGTGAAATGACATGGGGTGGTTGTGCTACTGTATAATTGGGGGTGATAATACCAGGAATTTTAATAAGATTTTGTAAAGATTATTCACAAAAGTAGTGAACTTATTTTCAATATGACATAGGAAAAAATGTGAATATTTAAGGTCTGTGACTATACTTAAACTTCACTGAGAATTTGCAGAATTGTTTTGAGATGTGGGAATAAAGGTAATTTTGTTGAATCTATATTGGTGCTAATGATGGACAGTTTAAAAAGTAGCTAGTGTATATTGTTATGAGTCAGTACTTATTAGTACTTCCAAAATTGAATTTGAAATGCTATGTATTCACTTTTCACTCTGTAAATGTAATTCTTTATGATGACTTTATTTATTAAAGGGCAGCCAGTTGTAATTTTTACAGGATTGTGTGAGCTATTCAAACTTTTTAACCTCTGGACAGGATATTAGCTTCTAAAATCACAATGGAGAAAATATGAAAGTTTATTTAAGTTTCATTTCCATTAATTGAAAAATCCTTATAGTTCATTTTACTATGAATTTGCTTTAACCATTTCATTTGCATAAAATAATTCATCAGCCTGATCCCAATAGGCTCAACCAAAGAAAAAAGACTCCAATGAATGGACATTATTACTGAGTCTTCCTGTAAGTAGCCATAAATAAACCAAAATAGTATCACCAAATTTAGGTGTGAAATTCCACATGTGCAAAGTACTGTTAAGGTGATAAATTTTGATGAGTTTTTTTTAATATTTGAAATATTAAAAAACATTATCTTTAAAACATCCTATAAAAGAGTGATTCATTTTTCAGTTGTGTTTTCCCTAGATCATAGTTTATTACCTATAAGCAGAAGCACATTGCCAGGAGTCATTTGACTTAGACCTCTTTCAGTTAATCTTCAGTATTGAGCGTAGTCCCTAAACATTTGCCTTAGCTGCTTTAAGATATTTTATTTTCAGAACCGAATCTTAGGAGTATTTTTTCACAAACATTCTTGGAGACAGACTCTACAAGACTGGCCGTAATGACTTTTAATAAAATCTTCAAAGTATTTTAGATTCTATTTAACATGAAATCCATTTCACACGTATTTAAATACTGAAGTCATGCAGTTATCAAAGCAGAAGTCTATCTTATTCTCTTGTATAGAGTCATTCTGTTTGGAGTAACAGTTAAAGTTCTATCATGCTAGATGATTGTTGTACCAACAGATAAGTATATAGCATACCTTGTATTTAAAAAATATTTCACACTTTTTGAATTCAGTAGTTCATAACTACCTCAGAAAACCAAATATAAAATTATTTTACTCACTACAAGGGGCTGGAGCGAGAGTATAGCCGGTAGGGTGTTAGCCTTGCATGCGGCCAACCTGGGTTCAATTTTCTTTTATTCACTACCAAACACCTTACCTTGGAAACACCTATTTCCACTTGCGTCTACTTGCTTATTTTTACTTCTTGGTTAGTCTTAGACGCAAACCACTGGCTTATATATACACATGTATTATTCTAAAATATTTTTGGTTGATTAGTTCTTTTAGGGTTTTGCGTTTACTATAGAGATGAGGTGGTTTTGTTTTTTTTTAATAGTATTGCTAAAGGAAATGATCCTATTCCAAAAATAGTTTCTTCCCAAGTTTTACCTAAACAAAAGGCAGTTTCTCACTTATTTTGTTTTTGCTTTGGGGTTATACTGGCAATGCTCAGGGGTTACTCCTGGCTCTGCACTCAGAAATTACTCTCGGTTGTGGTAGGCCATGTACAAGGCCTAAATGCTGTACTGTCACTCTGGGCTCAGTCACTCATTTTTTCACTATGTGATTTAAGCTGGAAAAATAAAATTGAAAGTTCTACTTATAAAAATTTCTTGATCAGGGGCCAAGTGACAGTACAGCTGATCTTACAAATGCCTATGATTGTATACATTTCAGGTTCAACTCTTCCGTTTACTAGCATGAATTGACTTTTTGCCTTGATTTTCTTTTTAAGATGTCTGTATATTGGGGGGGAGGGTAGTGGGCGGAAAGATAGTATAGCAGGTAGGGTGCTTGGTGCAACTGACAGGCGTACAAGCATCACCAGAAGAGATCCCTGAGCACCATCAGGTGTGGCAAAAAAAACCCAAAAAAATGTCAATATATTGTATTTAAGGCTTGAGTGATAAGAAGGAGTAAATAGATGGCACTGATGAGAAAACGGGTTATGTTTTGGAGGGGATAAAGTATTATTGAAGTGCATTAAACTTGCACAGTACAACTGTGTTTCCAGAATTTAAGTTGATTCTGATAAATGCTTGGGGATTTCTTTAACTTTGCACCTGTTACAAAATATAAAGGAGTTATCATAATTGTCTACAAGAGGAATTACCCATGATAAAATAATTATAATATTTTAATATTACTGCTCTCCAACGCATCCTTTGCTTTTTATTTTTTCCCCACATTCCACTAGCTGGAAGTCAATTGAAATGGCTTTAATTTTTTTGAAACATAGACTTCTGTGGCCATAGAGGTGGAATTTAGCATATTCCCAGTCCCAAACTCCAGAGCTCACTCTTCATCATAGCAACTCTCCAAATTCAGTCATTGAGAAAATGCCCGTCATATTAAGGAACAACAAATTGAAACAAGGAAATGATAAGAGAATTGAAACTACTTTCAGATATTTCCTTGGTTGGGAAGAGGAGGGTCCCTAAGAACTCCCTGCAATCTATGTACCACTTTGAGCTATCTCCCTGCCCCTGCTTTGAGAGGTTCAGAACACAATCTAGTGTTCAACACATAACGAAAAGAGGTGTGTGTGTTGCTGGGTGCTTGTTTGCTCATGGCTAATCACTGTTTGGTCACTGACATTTCATATGGTCAGTCTCCGAGCACCAAAAGAAGTTTATTCCAGAGTGCAGAACTAGGAGTAAACCCCTGCACATCAATGAGTGTGCCTCCCCTAACTCCCCAATCCCCCGCAAAAAATCGAATTTTAGCAAATGTAAGAGAACTGTACAAATTGGGGGAAAAAAAACAGGAAGGTATATTCAGAAAGACTCACTGGAACATTGACATTGGAAAATCTTCTACCTCAACTGGATGGCACGTTATATTTTTTTTCTCTAAAGTACTTGTGCTTGATTTTGACTGAGGTTGTATAATCTAAAGCAATAGGTTCCAGTGAAAGTTATGAGTCACCAGCAATAGAAATTCAAAACTGTCTTCCAACGTAAGATCTTCCAATAGTTTTGACAACTTGTTCATATTTTTTTTAATGAAGTTCATATTTTAGAACAAAGTGTTCTGGAAAGGTTTATGTTGGCGCATCCTCCTTACCAGATTGTCTGGCATTGATTTAACTAATTCTTTATAGATGTACCAATGACATAACTCCAGCAAATAAGACAACAATCAATACTGTATAAGGAAATTTGTATGAAGCCTCTTTGAATACTTGAGCTTATAGGTGGGGCTATCTGAGAACTCTCCACAGTACAGCAGGTAGGGTGCTTGTCTTGCACACTGCTGACCTGGGTTTGATCCCAGCATCCCATATGGTGCCAGGAGTAACTTCTGAGCATCACCAGGTATGGCCCCCAAAATACAATGGGGCTGGAGAGAGAGTGCAATGGGTAAGGCATTTACCTTGTACAGTTGAACCAGATTCAATTCCTGGCATCCCATATTGGTCACCCCAGACACAGAAGTATGCCCTGACCATTGCTGGATGTGGCCCCAACACATTTACATCAACAAGCAATCCATTTACAACTTTTAACTTTCCCCAGTCTGTAATAAATCTCACAAGGCAAGAAAATGCAGTTTTCTCTATATAATTTATTCTCAGTTGACCGGCCAAAAATGAAAGAAATACATAAAGCAAGAGATTATTGTTCCTGGCTAGTAAAAACTGTAAACACTGCAATAGGTTTTTTTTAAAAGAAATTTTCATATACATGGCTAGTGATATGTGAAGCTTAGGGAGGCTAATATAACTAAAACGTCTAGTGGCACTGCAAGATCCATTTAAGTTTGACTTCCCTGTAGGAAATCATAGGTCCTTGAACCATCATTCCCACAATGAAACTAATAGTAATACAGTGCCTGTAACAGCTGGAAAGAGTCTTGAATATTCATTGACTTCTCTTCAAGAAGGAGTGTTTGAGAAGCTGGACAGCAGAAGGTCGCTCATGCTGGTCCCTAAGAATGGAAAAAGCACATTAGAAGCATCACCCAAAATTATGCTTACCAACTAGATCAACTTGACTCAATGTGTTCTTTATTTGCTTTATCGGGTATCAAACCCCGGAATCATTATGTACTTTAAAGATGGAAACACGGGCCATAGAGATCCTACAGCAGGCAGGGTGTTTGCTTTGCACACGACTGGCCTGGGGTTTATCCCCAGTAGTCCTCGAACCCACCGGGAATGATCCCTGATTGCAGAGCCAGGAGTAAGCGCTGAGCACTGCCTGTGGCCCCCAAATAAAGATGGAAGCACAACCTTTGCTAGACAGACTTGGTTATTTGGTTTTTCTTAAAAATTTAATGATACTAATTAAAAAAAACTATAGTTTTATCATTTATGGTGGGTTGAACAACTTAAGGGTTTTCTTTTTGTCTAGTAGTGGTTCTATTTGGGTCTATATTTTTGAACCCATTTTGGTATGATTCAGGTGTATCTGTGGTGTGTTTTGTGGCCCCCAGGGTATATTCCAAGAAGTGATACTGCTGGGTCAAATGGGAGCTCAATTTCTAAATTTGAGAAACGCCCATATTGTTTTCTAAAAAGTCTGGATCAGTCAGCGTTCCCACCAACAGTGAAGGAGAGTCCCTTTCTCCCCACATCCATACCAACACCAGTTGCTTTTGTTCTTTTGGATGTGTGTCAGTCTCTGGTATGAGATGATATTGTTCTGATCTGCATCTTCTTGATGATTAGTGATGAAGAGTACTTTTTCATGTGCCTTTGGACATTCGATTTTTTTTTTTTTTTTTTTTTTTTTGCTTTTTGGGTCACACCCAGCTGATGCTCAGGGTTTACTCCTGGCTCTGCACTCAGGAACCACTGCTTGGGGGACCATATGGGATGCTGGGAATCGAACTCGGGTCGGCCGCGTGCAAGGCAAACACCCGACCCGCTGTGCTATTGCTCCAGCCCCAGGACATTCGAATTTCTTTGAGAAATTTTCTGTTCATTTCATTGCCCCATTTTCTGATGAGATTGGATATTTTTTTTCTTGTAGAGTTCTACCCATTTTGTATATCTTTTATATTGACCCCTTATCAGAAGGGTATTGGATGAATATCCTTTCCCATTCCATAGACAGACTTGGTTTGAGTTTAGACTCTTGTATAGTTGTGTGATCTGCAAATGACTCATTCTCATTTACGAAATTACCAATAATAACCAAATTGGTTGAAAGAGCTGAATAAAGTGACTGACATAATATTTAAAAGTAGTAGCTATTACATATAAAAACTAGGCACTACTTTTCCATTATACTTTTGTTAAACTTAGTTATAAACAAAATTCATACTTTGAGATGTAGTTTAATGAACTTCTACTTAGAATTCACTTTAAAATTTTAAGCGTAGGGGCTGGAGCAATAGCACAGTGGGTAGAGCATTTGCCTTGTACGCGGCTGACCCGGGTTCAATTCCCAGCATCCCATATGGTCCCCTGAACACCACCAGGAGTAATTCCTGAGTGCAGAGCCATGAGTAACACTGTGCACCACCGGATGTGACCCAAAAAAGAAAGAAAAGATAATATTTTGAGCATAAAAGAAGAGAGTTGCTGTTCAATAGTATTACTGTGGTTTGGGTTTTTTTTTCTCCCCCTAAAGAAATAAAAATTTTTAAAAACAGCTGCAATAGCTTATTCTGAGGCATTTTTAGGTTAATTTGCAATCTTGATAACTTATGAAGTGAATTACCAAAATGAATAGCCCAGGTAAAACAAATTAAAAAATTGATATAAATGATTTTGAAATAAAAACCTCTATCCTGAAGATTCTTTCCTTGCCTTTAGAATATGCACATTTTCTAAATTTTTTTTTTTTGGTTTGGTATGGTTTTTTGTTTTGTTTGGGGGCCATACCGGTGATGCTCAGGGCTAACTCCTGGCCCTTCACTCAGGAATAATTCTAGACAGGGCTTGGCAGGGAACATGGGACACCAGGGATTGACCACACACAAAGCAAATGCCTTATATGCTGTATCATCTCTCCAGTCCCCCAAATATATTTTTGTTTTTGGGTCACTCCCGGCAATGCTCTGCGGTTACTCCTGGCTCTGCACGCAGGAATTACTCCTGGTGGTGCTCAGGGGACCATATGGGATGCTGGGATTCGAACCCGGGTCGGCCTCGTGCAAGGCAAACGCCCTATCCGCTGTGCTATTGCTCCAGCCCCTCAAATGTATTTTCTTAACCTGACAACTTTTACTAGTTGTGATTTTTGTTTCTTCTTTCAAATTTCACTAATGTGGCCAAGCCCAGTTATCCAGGGTACTTTTTTCAATAGTCACTATCGAAAACTCTTAGAGGCTCTGGGCGCACAGCCAGTAGTGAGTGCATGGGCGCTACTATCTGCCAGACACTTGGTGGATCACATCCAGCACTTTTCAGGGACAAAGTGCCTGGAATCTAGTGGGGGTTGCCTGCACGTAAAGCGTATGCCCAGCCCTTGAGCCATTTTCCCAGCCCTTATTATCTTAAATTCTTAATCATTTGGCTTACTCCTTTCTCTATAGAAATTCCCATCCTAAAATTAACCATGGCTACCTCACTACCATTGTTTTTTATATTAAATTTTATTTGGATGGGTGGGCTTCCAAAGGGTGTTCAGTGGCCTGGGGGCCCCCACTAAAATTCTCAGCCAAACGCTCAGTTGATTGCAAGGGCCCAAGGATGCAATGCAGCTCCTGTCCTACCGAGCTGGGGATTAATTTGGCTACCCAGTGCTGGGGATATCTAGGACAGGTGCAGGGGGACCATGTTATATCAAGAATTAAATTTATGGGGTTGGAGTGATAGCACAGTGGGTAGGGCGTTTGCCTTGCACGCGGCCAACCCGGGTTGTATTCTCAGCATTCCATATGGTCCCCTGAGCACCGCCAGGAGTAACCCCTGTGCAACACCGGGTGTGGCCCAAAAACCAAAAAAAAAAAAAAAAAGAAATTTATGTTGGGCATAAGCCCTAACCTAATCTCTGCTGCCTGTACTCTTTCTTCTATTAGTTATGTGTTAGATGTTTTGATTATGTCCATATGCCTTATCTTCTCCCCACCCAAGCATTTTCCAAAACTTTTTTTCAGCCAGCCTTTAGAAAATAAAATTCATGACTCTCCTACAACTTTGGTTCTCAGTTATGTGCCCTCAGTCTTAATTGCTTTCCTAAGCTCCAATTTGGAGCATCAGAAATTTCTATAATAGAGGATCCTCTTCAACTCCTCCCCTTACATCTTCAACAAATTACTATTATTTTTTTCCACTCCACATTTGGTACAATAGACTACAACCCATCTTTATCACAAAGGAAGTCTTGATTCACTTTCTTCTGAAATGTTCTGGAATATTCTTTATAGTCCACTGCTTCCACAATCATCAAATCAAAGTCCAGACTCGAGCATGTTCTCAACCATTCTGCATTTAAGGGTCTTCAGGACTCTCTTCTGACCTACTCTCCCAAAGGCCAATTTCCCCCCCATTATATCTTTCTGTCCCCAAATCATTTGCAATCCCTTATGCTTTACTCCATATTGCAACAAAAATAAACTTGACCTGACCTCCCTGAATTTAAAACCTGCCCGTGAGAACACCTCTGCATGTTTCTTACTGTTTCCCCAAATTCAATTATGCCACCTAATCACCTCAACTACATGGAAAATATCATGCTAAGTGAAATGAGTCAGAAAGAGAGGAATAGACATAAAAAGATTGCATTCATCTGGGGAACATAAAGTAACAAAATAGGAGACTAACGCCCAAGAATAGCCGAGATTAGTACCAGCAGGTTTACTTCATGGCTTGGAAGCCAGCCACACATGCTAGCAGAAAAGGCAACTCAGATAGACAAGGGAGCACCAAATAAAGGGTGTTGGGAGGATACTCCCAGGATGGGAGAAGCATGCTGAAAGCAGACTATAGACCAAACATGATTGCCACTCAATGCCTCTTTTGCAAACCACAACACCCAAAAGGAGGGAATAAAAGAGAATGCCCCACTACAGAGGCAGGTTGGGCTGGGGGGGGGGGGATGGGGAGTGGGAGGGATACTGGGACCCGTAGTGGTGGAAAATGGGCACTAGTGGAGGCATGAGTATTTGATAATTGTATAATTGAAACCCAAACACAAAAATTTGTAAGTCTACAACTGTACCTCATGGTGTTTCACTAATAAAAATTTTTTTTAAAAAATGGGGAAAAAAAGTGTCTTAGTGCCAGAGAGATGCTAAAGGGGCTAAGGCACTTGCCTTGCATGTAGCTTACCCAGGTTTGGTCTCCAGCACTCCATAAGCACACCCAGGAGTGATTCCTGAACACAGTCAGGAGTAAGACCAGAGCATTTCCAGGTGTGGCCTAGCCCTCCTCAAAAAAAAGTAAAAAGTGCCAAGTCCCTTCATTTCTGACCATCCACAATACCAGGGAATGTTGTTATAGATATCAAGTGACATTCTAGGGTCCTTAAGCTTTTGTTATGTTTTCACTGGGGCCCCCTCAGATGCTTGGGGGCCATGCAGTGTTGGGAATCAAATGTTGTCTTACACACACTAGAAATATATTCTGCCAATTGAGCTATCTCCCCTCTTTAGGATTTTAGTCATAGAATTTCAGAAAGTAATTATAGATTTTTATAGGCAGTGGTTAAGGAAAATGTATCTCCTTACATTAAGGAATAGTTAAGGAACAGGATTCTCCTTATTAACAACTATGAAACCCTACTGGCCATGGTCCAGAAACTCATAAATAAATCTCAAAAGCGATCAGCAAATTGCAGAGATTCTTATGGATCCCGCACAAGGCTGAGTTGTCTGGGATACCACAGAGGGGTGCAGATGAACTCAGCACCCACCCGAACAGATCCCTGGCAGCAGGAAACTTCCACGTTCATTCCACAATCACCACCATGCTCCTGGCTAGACTCCACTGCTCTAGAGTGGAGTCTGAATGACGAGCCTCACTCAGAAATTAATCTGTTGAAAAACTCAGGCATGCGGGTTTTGTGACTGAAATCTCCAACCTTTCACGGAGTTAGGGATGGTCTCCTTCCATCTCCCAGTACTTCCTGAAACCCTGGCAAAAACACACATGCCCCCAAATGCCACCCAGTTAAAAATTTAACTCCAGCAATATCACCTCGTTAAAATTTTTTGATGTCCTGGAGCAACATCTCAAACTCTACAACACTGATAAACCAGAAGTAGCGTGCCAGATTGGATGGAATGCAGCGGTAGGGCGTTTGCCTTGCATGCAGCCAACATGGCCGACCCGAGTTCGATTCCTCCTCCCCTCTCGGAGAGCCCGGCAAGCTACCGAGAGTATCTCGCCCACACGGCAAAGCCTGGCAAGCGACCCGTGACGTATTTGATATGCCAAACACAGTAACAAGTCTCACTATGGAGACATTACTGGGCCCGCTCGAGCCAATCGATGAACAACGGGAGGACAGTGACAGTGACAGTGATCCCATCTCAAGTAACAAAATATCTTCACAGAAAGCTTAACCTGTAACAACATCTTAGAATCTCTTATACAAGTGCTTAATAGCTACATGGTGAGATACACAATCTTCACTAACTTCCTTCTGAGGAATCTTTGATCATTCTTTTAGCAAATTATAACAATCAATATAAAATAAATTACTGAGGACGTGCTATGGGGATAGGCTTAGGGGGTGGTTGGGAAAACTGGAAATAATGGTGGTGAGTAGGTGCAGTGGTGGTGGAATTGGTGTTGATGTATTGAATGTAACAAATCATGAATAAGTTTGTAAACCACAGTGTTCATATAAGATGTAAGGGGAAAGTAAAGTTTTAAAAAATACAGTTATAAACAATAATTACAAAATCCTAATTATATTCCTCATTCTCTGCTAAACAATTTTCATATGCTATTTCACTTGACCTTTAGACTAGCCCTACTAATCAATCACTGGAGGTATGAATTGTATCCTGCCTAACTTATAAAGCAAAGTATGTTTCAGGGAGCCATAAAAAAGATCCAGCACTTTCTATTTAAAATTCTTCACGAAAGAAAATGGGATCACAATTTCAATGAATCAACAGATTAAGAACAAGCAACTAGAGTAGCTATGAAAAGCTATGAACAAATCCCAAAGCTAACACTGCTCCATTGAATTTTTTTTCTATATATTTTGTTTTGGGGTCACACCTTGGGGTGCTCAAGGATTACTCTTGGCTCTGCTCTCAGGAATCACTCCTGGCGGGGCTTGGGGCACTATAGAGCATGGCGGGGATTGAACCTGGGATAGCTATGTGCAGGGCAAGTGCCCTACCCACGGTACTATTGCTCCGACCCAAAGGGGATATTCTTTATTTATTAGTTTTGTGGTCACACACGAAGTGCTAAGGGTATGTTCTCAAGGATCATTCCTGGAGAGCCTGGGAGACCAAATGGAGTGCCAGAAATCAAACTCAGGTCTGCCACGTGCAAGGCGAACATTGTACCTGCTGTGCACTGGCTCATCTGTGGAATATTCTTAACACATTTATGTTCCTTTTTTGAGGTTTTGGTTTTGGTTTGTTTTTTCAAGGGGAGGTAGGGACAGCTCTGTGCCTCTGCTTTGTCCACAAATTTCCTGCTCAAACACCTATCTAGAACTTTACCTTAGAGTACACATTCTTGTACCGGCCTACATGATCCCAGAAATCCACCAGAAAAGTCTTCTACACATAGGCTAAAGAGACTGAATTGGGAAATCTGAAAGAGGCACATTCACTGGGAGACTGGGAGACACATGGACACCAAGATGCAAGAATACAAACAAGGGGCCAGAGCAATAGTACAGCAGGTAGAGCATTTGCCTTGCACACAGCGGATCCCGTATCTCATATGGCCCACTAAGCACCACCAGGAGTGACTCCTGAGTGCAGAGCCAGGAGTAAGCCATGAACATTGTGTGGCCCCCAAATCAAAACAAAGACAAAATCAGAATTGGAGGCTGCCTTATATTAGCTAGCTGAAAGATGAGAAACTTGAATGTTTCCTCTAGGAAGGATAAAGTGCACTTTCTTGAGAGGCAAGACACTGTGTTTGGGTCTTAGGCTTTCATCCTCCTCCACATGCAGTTAAATTTGAGTCTCTTTAAGTGGGAAGACATTGGACTCTGTGTACACTAGAGGTATGGTGGGTGGCAGGCTCTAGCATACCACTCATCAGCTCTCCCTCACCACGTAAACTAGCTTTAGTCAGAGTCACCTCACTCTTATCTAATTTTCTTGAAATAAGAATGTGCTTATATAAGAATAAGCAGAAAGTGCTTGGCTAAAAAAGCTTGAAGCCATGCCAGTGGGTGACCTAATGGCCCTTACAGTAACATTTTGCCCACAATTTTGTTGCATTGATACAAGGAGATGCCAAGAAAAGTAAAAAGAACCAATTCTCTGGGGACTTTTTATTCTGCTTCTCTAAATATTCCTCCTACCAGATGCTTGATATCCCCAACTACATATTTATCATCACTTTATAAGCAGGCATTTCTGAGGAACCAGTATGTTAAATTTGTTGCTCATTAGTTTCCTCACTAAAAGTACTCAAGTACTTTCCTGAGAGTTGGTTGTAGGAAGGGAAGGAGAACACTAGGGTGCTGGAGAGACAATAGATAGAACAGTGAGCAGGGCACATGCCTTGTATACAGCTGACCTCCATCCCTGATCCTCCCCCTCCCCCCCATGTGGTCCCTCAAGCCCACCAGGCTGAGTGGCTCCCCTGAGCGTACAGCCAGGAGTAAGTACTGAGCACCACTGACTATGACCCCAACACAAACAACAAAAACCCCAGGAGGGTTTCATAGGAAATGGGTGATGTTATTCCGGCGTGGTCCATGGGAAGATGTTCCATTAGTGTATAAGTAGATTTCAAACAATTTTTGTACACCCATTGATTTAGGGAAGTATTGTTTTTTTTCTTTTTGGGTTACACCCGGAAATGCTCAGGGGTTACTCCTGGCTTTGCACTCAGGAATCACTCTTGGCGGTGCTCAGACCATATGGGATGCTGGGAATCGAACCCGGGTCGGCCGCATGCAAGGCAAATGCCCTACCTGCTGTGCTATTGCTCCAGCCCAGGAAATATTATTTGAACCTTATAAAACATTTAGTTGTAGGGGTCACCCTCCAGCAATGCTTGGGCCATGCTTATGTGTTCACACTTATAGGCACATTCAGGCATGTGTTCTGCCTCTTGGGCTATCTGCCCAGCCTCTGATTAACTGAGGCATTTTCTCCTTGAAGTATTACCCTATTCCATGATACAAGAAGGAACAAAATCACCCAGTGATTAGTCGTGATGCTGCAAAAAAATTACTCCCACTGATTTCATAGGTCCAGCATGGCTTCTCTCATTACCCAGAATGCATGGGAAAAGCCAGCAGCTTGAATTCTCTTCATGATTTATTACTCCTTAGTCTCCTCCAGTTTTCCATTTCTTACCTGGTCAGGCACACACGCACAAAGTCTGCGGCATCTTCTGAGAAGTGTTCTGGTAAAGGCGGCATCAGTCCTCGGTGTGCTCCAATATAAAACATGGCAGCCATCCTGTCCATAGAAGCTAGCGGAGGCTTCCCTGTGGCCATCTCAAACACAGTACAGCCAATACTCCAGATATCCGACTTCCTTCCATAGCCAGATTCGTTAATGACCTCTGGTGCCATCCAATATGGCGTCCCATGCATGGACTTCAGCATGTCACTGTGTGTGCCATTTAAGCCAGCCCAGGCCAGACGCTTGGCACAGCCAAAATCAATCAGCTTTATTATTCCCGTAGGCATGAGCATAACATTATTCCCTTTGATGTCTCGGTGCACCACACAGTTCTCATGGAGATAAGCAACACCTTGCAGAATTTGTTTTGTATATTTACAGAACACCATTTCAGGCAGTGGCCCAAAGCGGTTTATAATACTAGAGATGGAGCCACCAGGAACAAACTCCATGAAAATGCTCACAATGTTTTCTTCCAAGCATGTCCCCAAATAGGCCACGATATTGACATGTTTCAGTGCTTTGAGCAAATCTACTTCTTCTTGCAGTTTCCGGTATTCCTTTTCAGTAGCCAGTTTATCAGAGGTGTCCAGAGCCACTTGCTTCACAGCGATTAGCTGTCCTTGGCTAGTAAGACCACAATATACCTAAAATGAAAACCAATACCTCATTATTAGGTATCTAAAATCTAATTTGTACATAAAATGCCACATGTAACACCTTCTCTTCCCCCCTCAAACACCTATCTTTTTTACAAATTTTATTTTATTTTTTAATGAATCACTGTCAGGCTGGAGCTATAGCACAGCAGGTAGGGCATTTGCCTTGCATACAGCCGACCTACGTTTGATGCCTCCACTCCTTAGGAAAGCCCAGCAAGCTACCAAAAGTATCTCGCCCCCACGGCAAAGCCTGGCAAGCTCCCTGTGATGTATTCAATATGCTAAAAACAGTAACAACGGGGGGGATACCCCATCACCTCATTGGCCCCTCTCTTCCAGGTGGGTAGGGGGAGCCGGAGCCGGGACTGCTGCTCCTCCCCCCCAGCCCCGGGCCTTTTCCTGTCGAACTGGACACCCTCCAGCTGGGGACACCAGCTGCAGCTCTGCTGGACTCCCCATCGCTCCTCCTCCATTCCAGGATCCTGGGTGGGAGTGACCCTGGGACGGGACGGGGCGTGGCCACTACGTAGGGGGCATGACCTCCCAGAAGTGGGCGTGGCCTTCTCCAGGGTGGGCGGCAGCTCAGGCAGCAGCAGTGATATTTCCCAGTCCGAGCACTGAGGACTTTCATCCCACACTTTGTCACCTAATACCGACCAAAGATTTCTGACCACCTCTACTATAATACAACACATTCCAATCACCTACTCCATTTCTAATAAAAGTCCAGTATGAAATAAGCTGTACAAGTTCAATATTAAAGAGCACCTCCTCCAAAGCTTCACTCAATGTCCGTTATAAAACAAAGAATCATGCCTGACTGAGAAGAAGGTCGGACTCTAGAAAGGGAGAAGGGTGTCTACCATTGACCAACCTTATCCAAAATCCTTTCCCATGATAAGAGGGAACAGTACCTGTGATTTTAGGGTTCTACCTCTAGACAACCAAAACAACATGAAGAAACAGTGCAAATCTCCACTACAAGGAGAATACGAAGAAAAGAATCTCAAATCCTCAATCAAGGTTGTTCACAATTTTGCTCTCTTCGATAAAGAATTCCGGGACAAAATGCAGAGGGTGTTCAAGGATCTACTCATAGAATCAATGGAAGAGATGTCCAGAAAACCAAAAGAAGAAATGAAAGAAACAATAGAACAGATAGTTGAGAAAATACAGGAAGAAATGAGAGCAGAAATAAAAAAAGCTACAAAAAGAAGTGTCACAAATAAAGGATTCAGTAGGTGAAATTAAAAACTCAATAAGTGCCCTTAGCAATAGGATAAGTGCAACTGAAGAGAGGATCAGTGAGCTTGAAGATGAGCAACAGAAATTCCATAGGGAACAACAAGCAATAGGAAAAGACCTCAAAATGGCTCTAAGAAAAATCAGAGACCTAGGAGATGACGCCAAGAGGTACAACATTAGAATCATTGGAGTACCAGAAGGACAGGGAGACAACACCAACGAAAAAGCCACAGTCAAAGAAATCATTGCTGAAAAGTTCCCAGAGTTAAGGAATGCAGACATCCAGATCCAAGGAGCCAGAAAGGTACCAGCTAAAAGAGATCCCAGAAAAAACACTCCAAGGCATATCATAGACAGAACTATGGATGCTGCGGACAGAGACACAATATTACAAGCAGCAAGGTCAAAGAAGGAAATTACATACAAAGGAGCACCCCTTAGATTCACAGCAGACCTATTAGAGTAAACCCTCCAAGCCCGAAGGCAATGGTGGGATATAGTGAAAAAACTCAATGAAATGAACGCTTCACCAAGAATACTCTATCCAGCTAAACTCTCACTCAAATTTGTTGGAAAGATACACCAGTTTGTAGATAAACAACAGCTCAGGAACTTCATAGACTCAAAACCAAATCTAAAAGAAGGACTAAAGGGACTCCTGTAAGATAAGAAGGAAAACACTTATAAACACAACCAACTCCTACAGAAAGATGGCACAATACCCCATGACAACAATATCTCTTAATGTCAATGGTCTAAATGCACTTACCAAGAGACACAGAGTGGCAAAATGGATCCAGAAACTGAAACCAACATTCTGCTGTCTACAAGAAACTCATCTGAACAATCAGAGCAAACACAGACTCAAAGTTAAAGGATGGAAAACAATCCTGAAAGCAAAAAGCTCCCTCAAAAAATCTGAGGTGGCCATACTAGTATCTGACAACATTAATTTCAGGCTGAAAAAGGTTAGAAGGGACAGCGAAGGTCATTTTCTCTTCATCAAGGGATACGTACAACAGGAAGGAATCACACTCTTAAGTGTATACGCACCTAATGAGGGAGCAGCTAAATATTTAAAACAACTGCTAACAGATTTTAAGGAGGACATTGCTAGCAACACAATAGTACTTGGAGACTTCAACATCACCTTACCACCTCTGGATAGATCAACAAGAACAAAACTCAGCAAGGAAACATTGTCTTTGAATGAAGAAAGAGAAGAAAAAGAACTTATAGACCTATACAGGGCTTTACAACCCAAAAAGAAAGAATACACATTCTTCTCCAGTGCACACGGAACATTTTCCAAAATAGACCATGTGCTAGGCTACAAAACATACCTCAATAGAATCAGGAAGATAGAAATAGTATCAACAATCTTTTCAGACCACGATGCACTGAGGATAGAAGTGAATCACACACAGACATGGAGAATCAAATCAAACACCTGGAAACTAAACAACTCACTGCTGAACAACGAGTGGGTCAGGAAGGAAGTCAAGGACGAAATCAAAAGGTACCTGAAACAAATGAGAATGAAGACACGAGCTACCAGAATTTATGGGATGCAGCTAAAGCCATATTAAGGGGAAAATTTATAGCCCTGCAAGCATATCTCAGGACAGAAGAAAGGATGCACATAAACAACTTGACTTCACAGCTAAAGAGCTTAGAAAAGAATCAACAGAAGGAGCCCAAATCGGGCAGAAGGAAAGAGATCATAAAACTTAGAGCAGAAATCAATGACATGGAAACCAAAGAAACAATCCGAAAGATCAATGAAACCAAGAGCTGGTTCTTCGAGAAAATAAACAAGATAGATAAACCACTAGCAAGACTCACAAAGAAACAGAGAGGAAGAGAACCCTAATAAACCGAATCAGAAATGAGAATGGAGATATCACAACGGAAACCAAAGAAATTCAAAAGATCATCAGAGACTACTTTGAAAGTCTGTATGCCACGAAACAAGAGAACCTAGAAGAAATGGATAAATTCCTGGATTCCTATAATCTCCCAAAGCTGAGTCAAGAAGATATAGAATACCTGAATAGACCTATTCACATCAAGGAAATTGAAACTGTAAGCAAAAGTCTTCCCAAAAACAAAAGCCCAGGTCCAGATGGATTCACTAGCAAATTTTTCCAAACATTTAAAGAGGACCTACTGCCAGTCCTTCTCAAGCTTTTCCAGGAACTTGGAAAAACAGAAACTCTCCCAAAGAGTTTCTGTGAAGCCCATATCTCTCTAATACCAAAAGGAAACAAAGACACCACAAAAAAAAATAAATAAAACTACAGGCCGATATCCCTGATGAACACGGATGTGAAGATTCTGAACAAAATACTAGCAAATAGAATTCAACAACTCATCAAAAATATCATAGACCATGACCAAGTGGGATTCATCCCGGGGATGCAAGGATGGTTTAACATTCGGAAATCAATCAACATAATCCATCATATCAACAAAGGAAAAGATAAAAATCATATGATGATATCAATAGATGCAGAGAAAGCATTTGACAAGATCCAGTACCAGTTTATGATGAAAACCCTCGCCAAATTGGGGATAGAGGGGACTTTCTCAATATAGTTAAAGCCATCTACCACAAGCCTACAGCAAGTATCATCCTCAATGGGGAAAAACTGAGAGCCTTTCCCCTAAGATCAGGGATGAGATAAGGATGCCCACTGTCTCCACTACTGTTCAATATAGTACTGGAAGCACTTGCAGTAGCGATTAGGCAAGAAAAAGATATTAAGGGCATCCAAATAGGAAAGGAAGAAATCAAAAGCTCTCACTATTCGCAGATGATATGATACTATACTTAGAGAACCCTATAACCTCTACCAAGAAACTCCTAGAAACGATAGGCTTGTATAGTAAAGTTGCAGGCTATAAAATCAATACCCAAAAGTCCATGGCTTTCCTATACACAAATAGTGAGAGAGAAGAAAATGACATGAAGAAAACAATACTGTTCACAATTGTACGCCAGAAAATCAAGTACCTAGGAATTAGCTTAACTAAGGAAGTAAAGGACCTGTACAAAGAAAACTACAAAACACTGCTTCTGGAAATAAAAGAGGACGCAAGGAAATGGAAAAATATCCCCTGTTCATAAATAGGGAGAATTAATATTGTCAAAGAAGGCCTTTGATTCTGTTGAGACGGAAGCGGTCATTGAAGCCCTAGCCAATCAGGGCATTCAAGCCCAATACATCAAGATCCTCTGTGAGCTGTATTTCGGATTCACTACCAGGATCTCACCATTCTACAAAGAACTAATCATTGATGTCAAGAGAGGGGTTCGGCAGGGTGATACCATTTCACCGAAACTCTTCAGTGCCACCCTCGAGAACATCATGTGACGACTGGAATGGGAAGGAATGGGAGTAAAGATAGATGGTCGGCAACTACACCACCTCCGATTTGCTGATGACATTGTTTTAATAACATCAAACATCAGCCAAGCGGCATAAATGTTGGCCAACTTTGACCGTGAGTGTGGAAAGGTAGGACTACAGCTGAATCTTACGAAGACAATGTTTATGAGAAACAGCCTTGTTCCTGATGCCCCCTTCGCTCTCAATGGAATGACCATCTCCGAATGCAACAGCTATGTGTACCTAGGTCGAGAAGTCAACATGACAAATGACCTGGCACCCGAGCTGTGCAGGAGGAAGAGAGCGGCTTGGAACGCCTTCAAGAACGTTGAAGAAATAGCTAAGAGG